TGCCTACAGATAAAAATACAAACTCAGACCACGTCCAAAGTCCTAACGAATCTGGTGTGAATCTACGTTTCTAATCTTGTTACTGGGTAGGACAGATTTTCTTTCACACTAAGGTTGCTTGATCACAAGATAATCAAAGTCTGACATACTGTACAGAACAGGTAACAAATGCAGGAAATGACTAGATTGTAAATGGACAGGTTGAAGGGGAGAAGCCTGGAGTCTGAGAAGTACAGGCCTGTCTGTTCATCTGCTGCGAAACAGCTTGAAAGAGGACCAAATGATGATAAATATGTGAACTATAAAAAGAGAAAAACTGGCAAAAGCAGGCTCCTATTTTAATCATGCTAGAATCAGCTCAGGCCGGAGACATCAGCTTTTGAGAATTAGGGTACATCCCAGGGGTAATGACTCATAACTATGATATGATTCATAAGCAGAAAATGAAGAAATGCAAGGATACGGAGGGGCCCAAAGACTTCCTGCAGAGCCACAAAGAACTTAAAGTTCGATAAGAAAGCAACGTTTTCTTTAAGGAAAAAAAAGTGTCAATGTGTAACAAGACTGGAGGAACTGTGAACATATAGAGTGGCCTCAGTTTCTGAAGGTCTCTCACCAAAGACGTGAAGCAGAGTAGTTAGACATGAGGTGCGAATATGATGAAAGTAGGAGGTGTATACTAACATTTTCAAGCACTCACTTACACTGAAATATTTCACTTGGCTACTAGCCAAGCTTTCCAATGACAATTTTGCAAACTTTCATGAAAACAGTCGTATTTTAGATATTAAATGTTGGTGTTGGCACTTCCTTGGTGGTGCAGTGGTTAAGAATCCGCCTGCCAATGCAGGGAGCACGGGTTCGAGCCCTGGTCCGGGAAGATCCCACATGCCGCAGAGCAACTAAGCCCGTGCGCCACAACTACTGAGCCTGAGCTCTAGAGCCCGCGAGCCACAACTACTGAAGCCCACGCGCCTAGAGCCTGTGCTCTGCAACAAGAGAAGCCACCGCAACGAAGAGCAGCCCCCGCTTGCCACACTAGAGAGAAAGCCTGTGCGCAGCAACGAAGACCGAACACAGCCAAAAAAAATAATAATAATGTTGGTGTTAAAAGCCAGAATTGTCAAAGGAAGAACAACGCAACATTAAAACATGTATCAATGGTACGTATGAATACAGTTAACTCCCCTACATACAAACGAGTTCTGTTCCGAGAGCACATTCATAAATCCAATTTGTTTGTAAGTCCAACAAAATTAGCCTAGGTACCCAACTAACACAATCGGCTATACAGTACTGTACTGTAATAGGTTTAGAATACTCTTCACACAAATAATACATGAAAAACAAACACAAAAAATAAAGAAAACACTTTTAGTCTTACAGTACAGTACCTTGAAAAGTACAGTAGTACAGTACAACAGCTGGCACCCAGGCGCTGGCATCGAGTGAACAGGCAAGTACCAGCTACATCACTGCTGCTTTTACGCTTGCTTCCTGACATCCTGGGCTTGAAATAAAGATTCTGTACTACTGTACAGATACTGTACAGAGTACGGTGCTGTACTCTATACAGTACCGTAAAGTACACAAAAGCACAACCACTTGTAGAGGATGCACGCACGTGACAACGTACACCAGACACGTGAGCTAACTTGACTGGACGTGTGAACGTGCACCGCCATCTTTGAAAGTTCGCAACTTGAAGGTTCGTATGTAGGGGACTTACTGTAATCTTAATGACCCTTATCCTTTCTGGCAGCAGCTGGAATCCCTGAGGGATCACAAAACAGAACTGTGGAGAGACAGCTGTCCTAGTCAAATTAACTCATTATTACTCCTCATAAGCTAAACACACTTCCCCAACCCCCCTCCACCCAGGAAAAATATTTAGTCCTTATTCTTTTCTGTGACATCATTGAAGACAGAAAGTGCACTCCCACCTAGCAAAATACTGTCCTGATGTAATTTATCTCATCCTCCTCTTTTAGTCAGCGGGATATTTTTAAGCTATGTATTCAGAAGCATTTCTAATCATGAAAGAATGGGTGACACAAGGAGAGAGAAAAAGCAGCCTAAGCAAAATAAATCCACCAATAACTAAATAAAATAAACCCAAAGTTGGCAGCTTTTCAGAAGAGCATGAGTAAAGGTTTTGGTTTCTATGACAGCAGATAACACATGACTTAGGTTTATACAAATGTCTTTTTATAAAAAAAAGCTCTTTCTCTTAAAAACACAGATTGAAATAAAATTACTTCCTTACTTCCATACTACATATGTATGTTAGGAGAACTATTGGTTTCAGAGCTAAAAGGTGATTATTTTATCAACAGGTTTTCCAACATTCCTCCAAAACACTGAAAACCATCTGTGCATTTCTTTCTGGTAGTAAAAGTTTTATTTTCTTTTTAGTATTTTATTTAGCATAAAAACAACCCCCCCCACACACACAAAAACAAAAAGGGGAAGTTGCCTGATAAATACAGGGAGAGGAGAAGTCAGGTTGAGCAAGAGACCTCTGGGACAAGCTGTGGCTTTGTGAATCTCAGATCTCCAACCCTCAGTCAGTGGTGTGTAAACCAAACATTCACAAATAATTTGAATATCCTCCTTTATAATTATCCTTATCTAAAGTATACCATATTATATTAAGTATTTCATAACAAAAGTATGATTTTTCTGGAAAAAGTCAGAAACAAAATATTCATTAAATTCAAAACAAGCACTAACATCTATGGTATAGCATGAAGGAAAACTGGTGTAATTATCCTTGATATTAATCATCTTAAGTAAACATAGTATCATCTAACTATGGTGGAATAGTAATAAAGAACAAGGCTGATATGAAGATTTACCAGCTTTGTGTAATGGTAGGAGGTCAGTAATATTAGTTGAATTAGTTACTATAAAGTGAAGATTCAATTGGCTCAAAGGTGTTTACTAATAGTGGGATTATTCAAATGCTAGCTACATTCATCTGGGGATTATATTTCAAATACTGAGCAATTCTATTCACTCTTCTGAAACTAGGAATTTTAATATTAAAAATTTGTTAGGGCTTCCCTGGTGGCACAGTGGTTGAGAGTCCGCCTGCCGATGCAGGGGACGCGGGTTCGTGCCCTGGTCTGGGAGGATCCCACATGCCGCGGAGCGGCTGGGCCCGTGAGCCATGGCCGCTGGGCCTGCGCGTCCGGAGCCTGTTCTCTGCAACGAGAGAGGCCACAGCAGTGAGAGGCCCACGTACCGGAAAAAAAAAAAAAAAAAAATTTGTTAAACTTCTGATCCTTTAAAAAATTAAATCAAGCATCTTACCACCTGTTAAGCATCTGTACGAGAAAAGGCTGGTCACAACTCACATACTTTAGATTTTAAAAAGACTAGAAAGAGATGAAAAATGCAACCTCCAATTCTAGAGCACCGAATGTCACAAAGTGAAACTTTCTGAGGTGACAGCAAGAACTTATTTTAAAACCAGGAATCTGAAAACAGAATAAAGAAAGAAAATGGGATGCCTTAAAACAAATGAGTCACATAATGAGTTATTAAAGAGGGGTTCAGATAATGTGAGCAAATCAATTAACAGTAAACTAACACAATGAAATGTAACACAATAAGGTACTTTTCAAATTTTTGAATGCTTTAGGAAAATATCCAAAAAAGGGCTCAAGATTATCACTGCTAAGAGAAACAGAACGTTATCATGAACAAAAGAGTGAATTCTCATGCTGCTTTCATTATGAAAGCAATGAACTATCTATTGTCTGCAGGCTGGTTAAGTACCTGCCAATCAAGCTGCCAGTTCAAGTGGGGATGAGATTAGACTGGGCAGAGCCTGGCCATTGTGCCCCACAGGATTAGTATGACCCCAGGCTGTCCTTTAAATCACTACAAGTCTTAAGAATACCAGGTGGCTCAGATGGCTTGAAGACCCCACAATGGAGTTCAGCTCTGTGGTCCTGAAGCAAATCTGGGCATCTGAGAAAAATGTTTAGGGAGGGGGAAACAAAGTGACTTCAATCCCCAGAATTCTGGCTGGATGTTGTGAGGAGTGAAGGATTAAGTTGTATATGAAAAGAATAAACATAGAAAAGGAATAAAACAGACAGCATAAAGGAAGGAAAGAAGTGAGCAGGCTTAAAGTAATGACCCAGTGTCTCAAAATACCATTCACCCAGGAAACAAGAATAAGTAGTGATAACTTACTTAAAATGTCTGCAGTGGAATGCAGTTATTTCCAAATCCTTTCCCTTTGATGTTATACATGTTACTATAAATCCAGTCTGTAATTTTTTAGTCTTTTCCAAGAAAGAAATTGAAAACTATATTTCACATATACTAGTTATAAACTTATTTTTAGATAAATTTGGGAGTTCAAATTTAAGCCATGGATGAAAAATAAAGCTCAGTTTCATGCTTTGGATTCATTTTCAATACCTCATAGAGTTTATTAAAATAAACTTATATGCTTATTAAAATAAAATAAAATAAAATAAAATAAAATACAGCAGGGTGGGGATGGGGGAGATGAAGGCGGTCTGGCACACAGAGGAGATGCCGCCCTCTTCCTTCTCTGGCCACACACCCTGATGAATCTTCCATCAGTTCCAATCCACCTGACTTTCCACTTAACCTTATTTTTCCCCTTGCATGACCATGTCTCTTTCCAAAACAAGCAGAATATCTCTCACTAATTTTGGTAAATCCAACTTCTTCATTTTCTTTTTCTGCCATTTTGTCCTACTATGAGTTCAACTACTAAGTAATTTAAAAATAACACTGACAAACTCAGCTAAAACTTTCATTAAAATTACCTTGAAAACTGAGACAAACTGGCTTCTTTCCTCTCAATTATCCATGCAACTGGCTTTTTCATCACTAAGGAAGTAGCTTTGAGATGCAATCTGACACCTGAATATGACCCATAATCTAAATATGACATTTTCCCTGAAGTTTGTTCAGAAAAGAGGGGGAATTGGGGGAGGGGGAATCACACTTACAAGTCCACTTATGGCTACAATCCAGATGTAGGAACCAGAGGTGAAAAGCTACAAAAGAAAAAAAAAGGCAACTAAAAATGAAATTCAACTGCCAGTCACAGCATATTTATTTTTACATAACTACAGCCATAACCATTTATGTTAAGCCTTAATTATGTATATCTTAATATAAACATAGAAAATTAATAAATATCAATTCTGTTATATAAAAGAAAACAACATACTAATTTTTCTTTTCTTTTCTTTCTTTTTTTTTCTACCAAGACCTAACTCAGCTTTTCAATAGCCTAAAACAGATTGGTTGAACCCAGCCCACTCCCGTGCAAAGAAAAATAAGTGAAATTCAAGCATATTCTTAATTACAAATGGACATTAATTGGCTTAAACAAAGTAAAATACTATATAGAAAGAAATTATTAGCATTAACAACATACAAAATATGTAGTCACCATCCAATGCTTGGTGTTAAGTAATGACATGTAGTATTAGTTTATATAATTCTCTCATTTCAATTTCTTGTTATTGCTATTCTAGTTTTAGATGGAAGACATCTGCCAGCATACAGGTCCATGTGCAATGCTGCTCTGCTTAACTGCTGACACTCTCATTCCAGTTTACCCAAGAAAGAGCAAACTAAGTAATGGTATCAAAGTTCATTAATGGCAAAAGCAGTTAGAATCGGGTCTCATGAAACCTCTCCCTTTGTTTTCCAAATCATTTACCTCCAAGGGTGTGCTCAGGGTTTTAAAAAAAAAAAAAAAAGTCACAAGACATCTCAAAGTGTTCCTGCAAGAAAGAAAAAGATTTGTAGCCTAACAACAGGATATTTTTGGGACGATTGGTGAAATTTGAGTAAGATAAAAATTTGAATAAGATTGTATCAATGTTAATTTCCCAATTTTGTTAACTGAACAATGGTTATGTAAGAGAATGCCCTTGTTTATAGGAAATATACACTGAAATATTTAGGGAATAAAATAAAGTCACATATACAGATTAAAAAAAAAAGACTTGGAGCTTAGCGTTTGTTCACATTTAGATCTTTAGATGGGGAGTTTAAGCACTTCTGCTTGTAGAGAAAGAAGCGGGTTCATTGCTGACACTGTGCTACATGAAAACCTCAAAGTGGTGCCCATTTATCAAGGATACATAGAAAAAAAGATACACAGAAAGAAGACAAAGGTAAGAGATGACAAAGCACAGGTAAAAAAATAATCTGACAAGCTGTGCTCTTGTGTTAGCTAATGTGGAAATGAGCACTGGCTACAACTACAAATTTAATCCCTTGATCTAAAATTTAATCCTTTGATCTAGCATGGATGCTTGTTCAGTGTGAATGACTGATAATAACAAGAATGAGAATTATGTGGAAAAATATTTTTCTGTAGTCTTTTTCTAAAAGTATAGAGAACAATAAAACAGCTAATACTTTCACAGCACTTACTGTATGCTTTCTCTCACAGCTGGGCTTCTTGAGGGCAGGTGCCACATCTCATGCTTCATTTTATCCTCCACAGCCCCCAGCACCGGGCATTACATGACTGGCTCTTGGGCCATGTGTACTTAAATGACCCTTCACAAATAGTTTTGCTCTCCTGATAATGATTACAGTCATTCATTCACTCATCCATTCATGCGTCAAACGTCCCTGGTTTTAAGAAGTTGTTGAGTAAGAGACAAAGGCACAGAAACATGTGCGAAGGTCCAGAGGGGAGGGATGGAAGGAAAGAACAGAAGTTTTGGGAACAAAAGTTTCACGCTCATGTCAAGGTGGGGAGGGGTGGGGGCTGACATGGGACAGGCAAGAAGAAACCCTGGATGCCATTCATGCTAAGGACTTCAGATTTTATCAAGAAGCCAGGGGCATTTCCACCTCTACTTTCTGACACCAACTTCTACCTCACCAATAAAACAAAACAAAACAAAAAAAACAACCCACTCACAATCTCAGCAAAACCAAAGGTGGCAGCCATAGAGACATAAATGATTAATTAATAATAGGAACCAATTGACTTAGTTCTTATTATCTGTTCAGATTACCCTAAAAACTCAATGCTATAATCTCTAATCCTTCAAACGACCCTGTAAGATAGATATCGTTGTCCCCACTTTACGGATGGGCAAATGGGGGCTCAGAAAAAGTGACAGAGAAAGAAGATAATTACCAGAGCAACTAATTAAACCAAAGTCTACGTGACTCCAAAGACTTTCCACAATGCTCCACTGAATTCCTACTCCATAATTAATAAAACAATGTTTTTCACCCTAAAAGATGCTCTATAACTAGAGTCAACAATGAGGCTTAGAGGCTTCCATAACTTGACCCAAGTCTCAAGGTAATGTGTGCCATGTCAGAACTGGAACTTGGGTCTCCTGCCCCCCATCCAGGGTGCTCTTATATCGTTGCATTCTGCCTTCTGTTGTAACATCTTAAAAAACAATTAAACATGCCACAGCAAATCCTAGTAATAAGAGTAAAATGCGGAAATGGGCTATTAGGTTATACGAGTGTTAGGGAGGATAAGGGAGAGTGTAACGCTATATAGGTTGAGAGATGAAGAATAAACACATTTCATGAGAAATGGCTGTAAAGTGGTTAGGAAACGCCCACCCCAGATGAGCCACTGCTAACACAGGACAGCAGACTAGAGAAGTTAGAGGAAATGCTGAAGGTTAAAAGGGGAGGGAGCAGGGCATTCTACAGTGACACCGGTATCCGTTTCCACGTGCGTGGGGTAAGGAATGTTACGAGCATAATGGTGGATCAAAAGGCCAAGCTACACATGGTACCAAAGGAAACAGCAGAATAAAAGTTTACATCAAAAGGTGTGAGAGTGAAAGAAAAGTGACAGGTACTACAGGTTGAAAACTGAAAATCACATGTATCTTCTATTATTGCGCCTGGAACCCAGCAGAGAGTAATCAATATTCAATGATTCATTCATTCATTCATTCATTGAAGATAATCTTTTTCAATTTAAGTCAAACAGTCAGTCCTCTAATGGCCTTCGTGTCAAACCATCTAGGGGATGGTGACAGTGCAATCAAGCCCATGCAGCGCAGGAGTTATGAAGCTGGCAAAGCATATCTGGTTCCTGCTTCAGAGCTTTATTTGTGACACCCTATTCAATAAATTAATTTTGACAGTGGTTCTCCACTTTCCCCCTTTTGACTGTTCTCATTTGTTTCCACTTCGTACTATGATTTTTAAAAGACACTTAAACGCCAATAGTACAATGAAATTAAAATATTTTCCACCGATACAAATTACAGTGAAAGCTCTTATCAGATTTCTAAAGGCTATGAAGGTATTCTAGTATCTTATATACCTTGACGTTCTTGTGCTGTAACACTTCCTTTGAACGTTTGATATAGATCACGAAGCCAAACTTATGGGAAAAAAACACATTGTCTTCAAGGAGATCAAATGAGAAAAAGACCAAAAAAAAAAAAAAAAAAGAGAGAGAGAGAGAGATCTGGTTAAAGAAACATGAACATAAAAATGCATACTGTACCTGTAGTCCCAATATATAAATCAGTGTCTTGTTTGTGATGGACAACGGGCCCAGAATATGTGCCACCTGGACTCTCGGGATGGAGCAGTAAAATGGTACAAACAGAGCAAACACAGGTGCCAGGCTATGCAAACAAACAAACAAAAAAAATCACTATGGTATAACACTCAATTTAAAATACCAATGGTAAATGTATATTTGAAGTAACACTGCTTATCATTTTATTTCAGTCTGAAAGCATGGTCTTAGATACACAAGTTGGTTTCTATACGTACATCACATCCAAAATAATTTGTACATATATATAACATTTTATGAGACCTCTAATTATCTAACCCTTGTCGACCCTCTCAAAACTATTGCAGAGAGTGGTTCAGCATCTACTAATGAACTGTCAGCACTGTGAGAAAATTTAAAGTTGATGCTATGTTTTCTTCTCACGAATGACTTGAAATCTGATGAAAGAGACTAGATGAACCAAAAGTAAGAAACATTACAATTCATCACACAGTCAAATCCAAAATCTTCATCTCAGACTTTGTCCAATTGCATTTCACTCCAGCACCTGACAAGGCTCGCCGCTCCTGTCCTCCCTCCCTCCAATTCCTTCCTGCTTTTGTCTTAAACCCTGTTTCTTGCTGGTCTGCCCACGTGTCTCCCACCACTCTTCTCCTACCCTCTCCAGGGTTCCATTAGGGGCTTTTCTTCTTGCTCCAGTCTCTCCTGGTATAATCCTAAGCCCTTCTACGGCTTCAACTAAAAAAATGAAGTGAGTCCCCAAACTGTCCGGCTGTCCCCTCACCTTGGCTATGAAACTCGATTTGATACCTTCGACTTGACATATTCCAAAGTCACAAACGTCCTTCTACTTAAAGTCTTGTTTCTCTCTAATCCATCTGCTAACACCGCCAACAGTACTGTCTTCCCCAAATACAACTCTGATCATGTCACACCCTTGTTTAAAACCCTTCCTTCCACAGGCTGCCAGTATCCAAAGAGGAAATTCAAACAGCACGAAAGAGCAAAGTCCTGCGATTCTTTCTTAGCAGCGTGGTTCCTTGCAACCGCCCTCCTCTCCCTTCCCCTGATCTGGCCCATCCCCTCTCACCCCCTCCCTGCCCAGATGCTCCCTGGGCACCTTAGGCTCTGATGACTATTCACTGACACAGGTTATTGTTTCAACACAAGAGTGTCCGTTGCACTTTTCTGCTTAGGAAACTTACGGTGTATGACACGGCTCAGCTCCTCTTCCCAGAGATTCCTCCACCCTCCTACTGGCTAGCCGCTCTCCTTCACCCTCACAGCTACCCCAGTTTCACTGTTTTTTTTTTTTTTTTTTTTTTTTT